CCAACTTTGCGCTGACCACGTACTGTTTCTGTCGAGCACCAGACCTGTCTCACAAGAAACGACACCGGTTTACATGGGGACCGCCAATCGCTTGTCAGCGCTAGACTCAAATCAACTAAATCGCCATCAGCTGTGGATCCATTGAAGACTGCTGCTCCTATTGGTCAACACCCGTGGACAAGGACCGTGCTCTGCTACGATCGAGATTCTCCCTACGCTTGATAAACAAACTCAGAAAAGCCACTGAAAACGGATGCCCACAATACACTATCAGCGATGGTGTCAAATTGGCCTTCGGAGCGAAACTATCAGATCGCCTCTCAGCTCAACAATCAGCCGGAGGACTCAGTGTACACTAGACGATAGTTAGGGAAGCTATCCAAACGTCGTTCGAAACAACGGCAAATTCTGGAACACGACCAAATAAAAAGCAATGGATCTCCCCGATCTCGGTTGCCCTGCTGGACGCTCGTAAAGCCATTCCTTCGGATTCAAAATACGACAAAGTGCGCAAATCCCTTAGACGCCAGCTCACCAAGAGTCTGAGGAATGACCGCGAGAAGTGGTGGGTAGGGAGGTGTGGAGAGATGGAGAAAACTACTGGTATCGGTAATAGTCGCAATCTTTTTGGTTTAATTAGGAGTACTTTACCAAAGAAAGTTTCAGTTTGTACAGCCGTTAACTATGCATATTCGTGCGCCGGGTTTGGTTGTTATCTTTTGGCTGACTATTTGGATGAAGAATAAGAGAAGAAAGGAAAGTTAAAAGTGGAATCGAACATAAAATAAGGAAGTTCAGTGGTCTAAGTTTGCAAAGAAATTGAGAAGATGCACGAACGCCACTCATCCACACTCAGCCATATCACTCAGTTTCTCTAACCATCGGTTAGGCGTAAGTGAGGCGATTAAGGCATCTGATGGCACATTCAAATTCAGGAACGCCGTCTTGAACGTTGGGTAGAACATCTTAAGGCACAGTTCAGCTGGTCCTCGTTAACACAAGATCTCCCCGTACCCGCCTCAACTGCGCAACTACCGTCAGTTGACAGCAGTCCTCCATCTGAAATGGAGGTTTCCCGGGAAATAAGCTATCTCAAAAGGCGTAAGGCCTCCGGCCCAGATGGGCTCTCCCCATCCGTTTTTAAGGATGAAGGTTTAGCCTTGGTTTCGGAGTTAACGAAACTCCTGGGTTCAGTGTGGGAGAGGGAATAGGTTCCAGCTGAATAGTGTGAATCGATGATTATACCGATTTACAGGAAAGGTGATAAATCCTCTTGTGAAAACCACGGAGGAATTAGTCTAATCAACATTACCTCGAAACCTCCCGCTGGTGTTATACTCCGTCGATTGTCTGCCGCACGTGAACGGTGTGTGCGTGAAAACTAGGCTGGCTTTAAACCTGGTCGAGGTTGTATCGACGACATCTTCACTCTTCGAATTCTACAACACAGACATTCTTTTCGTAGACCCACCATATATATATATATGTATATATATATATATATTTATTAACACCAATCTTTACAGATACGGCGCCAAAAATAACCATGGGTGAACGAAAAAATACAGGTAAAAAACGGGGATAACAAAACAGTCAACTTCGTGGAGTAACAATTTTTTGCTTGTTTACTGCACGCCATTTTGAGGTTTTCTTTTGGGATTGCAAACAAGAGAGGACACATTCGCGCCACTGAATTCGGTTCGATGCCATATCCCGCAGTGTCTTCAGCCAAAGACGATCTGAATCTTTGGGGCCCCATCCGGGGAGCCGAGAAACCCCAACCGAAGCCAGATCCGAGCACAATCTCTTTAACCCTCTGCGCCACGTCATAGCCTGCCCACCTCGTTGATCCTTCCAACCTGGACCAACGTCTGCGAATAGTGCACGGTATGGCAGACGGTGCTCAGGCATTCGTAGGACGTGCCCTAGCCACCTAAGACGATGCTATGAAATTATTTTGCCCAAGGAAGACTATCTGGTCCCAGCACCCGTCGTCTGACTTCATCGTTATTCACGCAGTGCTCCCACCATACGCGGGCGATGTTGCGCAGACAGCGGTTGTCGAAGACTGATAACTGGTGGACGTGATCTGCTCGGAGAGATCAGGTTTTGCAGCCATAGAGCAACACGATGCGTACCGTTGCGCAATAAACACGTCCTTTCAGTGGAAGGGATATATCGCGCCGGCGCCAAAGATGCTGCAGATTAGCGAACGCTAACCTAGATTTGATCACGCGTTGAGAGATCTCGCCCACACATCTGCCAGCTGTTATGCGACCCCAAGGTAGACAAAGCTTTCGACCACTTCCAATGAAAGTGCAGGGATGGGTTCCTGCCAGTCTTGCAACAACACTTTACACTTTGAAGGTGCAAATGACACCATAACGAGTAACCTCAATTGCCCAACTGTTCAATGACTCTTGAATCGTTGATGCGTTGTCACCCAGTAAGGCAATATCATCGGTGTACTCTAAGTCTACGACTGTCCCCAGGAAGAAGCTCAACGCCAGCGTTCGCTGCGTTATGTAACGCGTTTTGTAAGACATCGTCTATGGCAAAGTTGAAAAGAAACGCAGAGATAGGGTAACCCTGTCGTACCCCACTGGTTACAGGGAATGAGGGTGAAAATTCACCATAGGCCCTAACCTTTCCCGAGGTCTGGTGATAGAGCGCTTTTATGAGTGAGACATATTTCTCGGGTACTCCGTATCGCCGCAAACAGTTCCATAGTGCGGGGCGATCGATAGAGTCGAAAGCCGCTCTGATGTCTAAAAACACGACAATGTATAAAATCTTTGGAGAATGTCAGACCATCAGATAATAGTCAGACTGTTCCGACTAATACGGTGAACTTCAATTAGCAAAACAGTTTGAGATAAGAAGGGACTAGCTATTCGCAATAGGGCTGAACCACTTGATCGCTGGGTGGAATACTTCAGTTCAGCTGGCCTAGTGCTAACTAGGCTACTTCATCTTCGACTGAAGCAGTGTCATGCGATCCTCCAACAAAAGCAGAAGTTCGATCTTGCATTCAAGCTCTGAAGCGAGGAAAAGCAGCAGGATCGGATGAACTCCCTCCCACCTCGTAAGATCCATTACTACCCTACTGCGCAACATTTGGACGCAAGAGCACATTCCTTAATCTTGAGGCGAGTCACTGATCGTTCTCATTTTCAAGAAGGGATCTCGCAACGAATGAGAAAACCACCGCGGGATCAGCTTGATCCCCATCGTTGTCTGACGCCTTTAAGAGAAACCAACATCCGTGAACAACAAGCCGAATTCCGGCCTGGCCGTGGGTGTATTGATCAGATATTTACGTTGAGTCAAACAATGATGCGGTCGACAGGATACAAAGTACCATTTCGAATCAAGAATTGCAGAAATGGTGGGCCATGAGAAGCGGTGGTCAGTGAAGAGTAAATATTTGGTCTACGCATCCACTGTCGAAGAGACAACCATCTAGAGGCAAGTGCAGTCAGACTTGGATGAGAATTGGCAAATTGCACGTACGGTTTTCAGTGAGCTCGCGTCTGAGAGATTTGTGCGTAGTTATACTCCGAAAGCCTCAGTATGGTCGGGGGTGGATGTCTAGAGTTGCGTCTGGTCACCCTTCCCTTGCACCTCGCCAAATGCTCCCATTCGTCCAAGCGTCTCAAATAGCCTCTGCTGAGGAAGTCCTACTCACTGCCTTCTCGTGGCGGAGGTATTTGTGCACAAAAATGAGAGGACGAAAAGCCAATATCCGGGGCTATAACCGCGTTGGTGGGCCACTGGTAATTCATTTAGGGAGTTGGTTAAAAGCCCTGATTCGAAATCAACCAAGGAGGCGTACGAACTACAACCACACCTTATCGGTTGTGGCAATGGTCACCGGCTCGATTGGGCATCGAGGTGTATTGGGCACGTTGGACGTTTGACCCCTTCCGAAAGGAGTGTGATCCGATGAAGTAGATACCGGCTCCCAATGGACTGCGGTTTCCGCGCACTGCCACGCTGCCTTGCAGGTCAGACTTTGGCTGGCCAAAGGCTTTGGTTGTGGATTCTTCAAGAAAATTCACCTGCTTTGGCCTGGGCCACCTGGTAGTATTCCGCCCACTTGCAAATCGTGGAGCGTTTTTTTTACAAAGATCATTGTACCATGATTTGTTTGGAACACAGTCTGACCTCAGACAAGTATGAAATATAATATAATACTACCGGAGAGTTCGGAAAAATGGTTCTATCAGTGTCCAACAAAGCAGTGAAGGTTGGGGAGACCTATCGTTTGTGCTTGGATCATGGATTGAAATCNATTGAAATCGATCGTTATTTTCATCAACATTCAAATGCATTTCCAGACTACATTAGCGAGTCCATTGAGGCCTTCAACAAGTAGATAAATTGCCGAAGGTTGACAAAGCTCCCATTTGAAGGCAAGGTCGCGAGTGTCGCTTAGATTGTACTGCGGGTATCCAATTATGGTTGCATTGTTGCAGTTCTTTNCACCTGCTTTGGCCTGGGCCACCTGGTAGTATTCCGCCCACTTGCAAATCGTGGAGCGTTTCTTTTTACAAAGATCATTGTACCGCGACTTGTTTGGCACAGTCCGGCATCAGACGTGACCAGAGGTTCGCTTTCCTTTCCCGTACCTAAGAACGGGTCCGATCCCTGTCCTCCTTACACATTCTCACTTACCTTGTATACATTAGGAGTTTGGCAGCGATCAGTGAAGTTCCCTTCACTATATTCCGCTGTATGATGATAATGTGGCAGGTTTTAGTAACCACTAGATGTATCCTTTTTACTCTGCATACCACTTGGCTATTGACAATCCATGTTATCACAACCGTAATAATTGTCCATCTTCTATTTCCTTGGATTTCAGCGCGCGTTTCGCGCAGTCAGCCTCCTGTAGCAGGCTTTCGGGTTTAAATTAATCAGTGATAAGGTTCTCATCAGCAGTGGTATTGCTGCCTTCTGTTCTGGCAGCAGGTTCACACGTTGTTCATCGGGTGACAATGAGTGCGCATACATCTTCGGACAGTTCTTCCAACTTTGAGTGGGACGAGTACTTGGTTAAGACCAATGGTAAACCAGCGGACCCAAAATGTTTCAAACAAGTAAGGTATACGTTAAAAAAGGTTTTCACTTCGTTTTGTTTTCAATCACACCACTATGGTACAAGTCGGTAGTTTATTATTTGAAAATAAATGAAGGGCACTGTTCTTCAGTTCTGTCGTTTGAGGTTTTTCTTCTGTACTGACCAGCTGGCAACTTCACATAAAATTCCTTGATTGTTCTACGGAATTGTTTCTTGCATCAACTAATCATCAGGTTGATAAGACACTCTGGTTACTTAGCTCAGTGCAGTGCAAGAAGTCAATAATAATCCTCATCTGTTCAATTTCGTCGTAGACGAGGTACTGGAGAACTCACTTAGTGGTCTCCAAAACGAAGGTATTGAATGGGTAGCTGGAGAAAAGCTGTGCGATTTAGAGTGCACCGATGACATCGTACGCCTGTTCGGTTCTATGGAGGATGCGCAGACTAGCTAGTTCTGTATCTCCTTTCGGCGTGCGCTTTGCACCTTCAAAGTGTAAAGTGATGCTACAAGACTGGGTGTCGTCTACCCCAGCGCTGATGCTTGATGGTCAAGAATTAGCTGTAGTGGAATGTTTCACCCACTTAGGTGGCTGCGTTTCAAATGACGTGGCATAGTCAATGAAGTAACTGCCCGCATTTCCAAGGCTCGAGCAGCTTACGCAGGATTGAAACACCTTTGGTGCACACGCGATGTTTCGTTGGAACTGAAAGGTCGTGTATACGGCACCATTGTGCGGCCAGTTCTGGTCTATGGTTGCGAGACCCTAGATTTGCACGTGGAAGATATTCGTCGTGTTGAAGTATTCAAATGCCGTTGTTTGCGTAGTTTGGCTTGGGTTGGATGGGGCAAGCTTGTAAGCAATCTGAGGTAAGTGGTCGCGTATTTGGTAATGATTCGATGTCGAGTTCGTTGTCCCATCGAATTCAGATTAGTCGGGTTCGCCGGTTAGGACACGTATTGCGCATGTCCAGCCATCGTCTGCCGCACTGCGCCTTATTCGCAGTTGCGGCTCCAGGTTGGAAGAAGCCGCTTGGAGGTCAACAGATGACGTGGAAACGAGACATGAATAAATGTACAGAACGATCAGGTATAATCGGTGTCTCCCGTCTTCCCGGTTGGGGTCCGAAAGACTGCAACCGGCTGATTGGAGACACTGAAGGATATGGTGACTGACCGACAACAGTGGCGTTCTTGTTGTGATCTCTTATCAGGTCAGATTACTTAAAAAGGTATGTATGTATGCACAGTGATATTTGTGTACTCTGTGTTGACTATAGAGGTTCTTTTCCTTTGCCTCCCTCAAAGGCTCAAGCCCTCTCCATTTTGTGCTTTTTCACTTGATTTGTGTACATTGTGAGCTTGGCAGCGATCAGTATTTTTCGGTTTACTGTATCTCGTTGTACGGTGATGATGATGATGATGATTATGATAATAATAATGATGGTGATGATTAGTTGGAGGGCGTTTGTTTGCATATTTTAATTTCGACAGTCAGGTACTACTCTTCCATAATTTTCGAATCAATGGTAAGCCCGGTCAACCACTAAGCCATCAGTCGTGAAGTGTATTGAGAGGTGAGTTTATCACAATTCAGATTCTCGGCATCGGTAGTTCTGTAGTCATCACCGAATCGATGTCTCAGTTATTCCTTTGGAATTCGGTGACTGAATTTTTAACGAATTCTACTGTAAATCACTTGCTAGTCAATCCTTTCAGCCACCACACTTAAAATTGTTGATAGAGTGTATCAGTCTTTCTCTTAAAATGTGCAATTTCACTAACGCCGGGTTGTGGCGACCCTGTGGTAACGTCACCAAATTATCACCCCGGGGATGTGTGTTCGAATCCCATCACCACCGCCTGACTGTCCCCATCATGTGTGTTGTATGGCAGCCCTTTGATTGGCCTCTTCCTTCTTCCTGAAAATTGTATCTTTGTATATTCCGTAAAAGGAAGTAAAAATGAAAAAGAAAAACATATTCAACCACTTAGAATATTGAGTGACTGTTGTTTGATTTCGCTTCTGTTCGAACTGAGGGCGCATGATATCTGATCGGCTTTTGTTATTCTGGGTATTTGCTACATTGTCCACTACCGCTTCACTCACTCCTTTTTCTGTCACAGTCCCTCGTCCCGCCAGAAAATCGTTTCGAAGTGAATACCCTATTAGAGGCGGAGGATCAGCGAAGCGCGGCTTTGGACGTACAAACCGCACCCAGTTTCTCCATCGACCCGAATAAGACTCGTACCAGTTCGGGGTTGGCTGGCTCCACATCCGGTTCTGGTGCCCCTTCAGGTGCCGCTAATGCTGGACTGGGCTCTGGCGCCGGTAGGCGTACCAGTTTGATGAGCAGTCACCATCCGCTCGGTACACTCAGACGATTTCGTGCAGCCGCGTTTAGCTTGGCCCGCGTGATCGAAGTCTGGGGTGCAAGGTTGCGTATTCGCCTCGTTGGTACTGATGATCGAAATGACTGTTGGTTCCTCGTTGATTCCGACCAGATTCGACCTTATCCATCCGGGAATCCCTTACAACCGCCTTTTGGATATATTCATAATCATCTCGTTTGGAATCGGACATTAAAAAGAGCCACTGAAGGAGCAAAATTTGCTGATTCTTCTTGGTTCATCGAGGTAAGTTTGCATACTTGCTTTTGTTTCCTTTTAACTAGTAGTAGTATGAAAAGGGAATTGTGCCTAGAAATTTTACGGTCTAAACGAAAACACCACCTGATCTGACCTCTACCCATTGACCTTCCAGGCATGATAAGATCTGGCTTGATAAAAGCTATCCTGGGTCACAGAGGTGCGCAAGCCATCACACCACGTCACGGTGCAGTCTCGTCGTGATGGTCCCACCTGTGAACCATGAGTTCACCTTAGTTGTCCTTCTGACCCCTAGCCAATAGGTTTCTGTCCCGTCCATGTTCCTTCTATCTCATTTGGTACACACGAGGCTAAAGTTCACCCCGAAGACGTCATAACCGGATATCCGCAATACGATTTTTGGGGATAGTTGTCAATTTCCCCTCAAAGAAGGTCTCTCTCATCGTTTTTCACTTCAATCACCCACCGAAGGCTTTACTGAACACCGAAAGACAATCTGGGAAGTTATTCAAATTTCGATGAAAACAACAATGGATTCTGACACGCAACCTGGTCAGTGCTGTGCTCATGCACATGGATAGCCGTTCCCCAATATGATTCCAATTTCTTACAATCTGCCTCCTGCCATGTCGCACCCCTGAGAAGTCACATTTTCTAATGTGGGAAAACCCTAACCAACCGCATGCGTAATAACGTAGTTTCTGACTATGCAATGTCACACCCCTCAATATGTCGCAGTTCCTGATATCTACTCACTCGGTCGTTGACCATTGTTCGGGACGGCCATTGACCAGCCAACCTGCAATGTCGCACTCAGCCAGTGGCGTTTCGCCTAATGTGACGCGAACATGACACTGTCGATTGGATAATCTTTGCGAGCAAGGCACACCGATGCCAACAATCAAAGACTGTCATTTGACTTCGAAATGTGCGATCGCCTATGGATCAGAACGCGTTGGAAATGCTGAATTAACCAAGTGCAACTCAGAGCTCCATAGCCGAATCACTTGGTATTTCAAGGAAAACTCTTTCCAGTGTTATGTTCCATCAAACCACTATCGGATAATTTGTGAACACTGGAGCATCTCAGGAAAGATGCCACCTGAAAACCAACAAAAATTTCACGACAGTGAATAAGGCAACCTTGGCTTGGTTTACTGCTGTAAGGGAGAAGCACGGTGATTTCCCCATAATGGAGAGCATCATTTGTAAGAAGGCAATTCAGGTAGCACAAAGAATACATTATCGTGACTTCAAGGCTTCCAAAAGTTGGTTTCGCGTTTGGTTAGATAGATGTTATTCAATCCTGCAAAGTAAGAAACAAACAATTAATCGTGCATTACTTTATAGGTTTAAGGGGAAAGTTTGACAGTACCACGTGATGCACTGGATGAGTTACCGCAGTTGATCCATGAATACGCTCTGAGTGTGATATTTTCAATGCAGATGAAATGGTCTTGAATTACCAGCAGCTGCCAGAAAGAACATGAAATCTCAAAGGAAAAACAGTTTATGGATCCAAGAAATCCAAAGAAAGAGTCACGTTACTGCNCTGCTTTGTGGGTGCATAACTGGAGAAAGGTTAACACCGTTGGTTATCGGATCGTTTCAAACTCCACGATGCCTCCGAGGTATACATGGAGAAAGCCTTCCCTGCAGTCATAATTCGCAAACATTTACTGGAATACTTTTTGTCTTTGATCGAAGATGAGCAACATAGCATGAAATCTGAAGTGTACATTCTCATGGGCATGCATCCGGTCAAGAAAGCTTGGGTGTTTGTGCATCCGCACCTACTGATCCACGCTATCATAAAAGCTGAGTTCAAACACACATTGAATCAGCCGTTGATGTAGCCACCAGAGGATAACTGCAATCTGATTGAAGAATTTACTCACTATATACCATTGATGAACGTCTCTTTGAAACAGAAATCGCCTCATTTCGAACCAAGCTAAGC